GCGAGAACGAGAGCGAAAGCGAAGACATCTTCGCGCTCTTTATTTGACCTGTTCCACGCTCTTAAACGCACATGCGTTTAGATCGATACGCCGTGCCAGCCAATCGTCGCACACGGTGCGCGAGATTACGCGCCACTACGATTCCAATTTAAATTCAACAGGAGGAACCGATGAACTTGTTACGTCATCGAATCACAATCAAGGAGACTCCGAATCGTCCGCGAATTCGTTCCGATATGGGTCGGAAAGGACGTGGCAGCTTCTCCTCAGCAGCACTATGACAGCGATCATCGTAAGATTTGTCGTGGCTACGTAGAATTACGTAGGGTGGTGTCCATTACTCCGTTGGATAGATGCGATGGGCCGATCACTCGGATCGATACGTACGTACGTGCGCACGAGCAAGGGAACGAAATGCGATCAAGACCGGGACGGAACTTTTTCCCTATAAAAAATAGTGAACATATTGAAACTCGATCAATATCGATCTCGCTGAAGTCGCACGAAGTCGCATCGTCGTTGATACAGTGAAACAGGAATTTGCGCTCCTGATAATTAAATTATGTAGATAGTTAGAAAATTATGCAATATTCCCGCCCAGTTTAATTGTTGATTGCCGCATGAATTGTCCATTGCGCAAGCGTATCATTGCACCTATTTGATTTGCACACGTTTACAGCATTTTGATAAATGCAAACACAAAATATACGCGAAATATCTTTATGATATATCTCTGTGTTATCACTTTGATAATGATGTTTCACGCGCGTAACATAACATGGAACATCCTACACTGCCTATTTATCCCTCATTCGCCAAGACTTTGAATATTAAAAGCACTTATCGATGAGTCCGATTGGGACCCAATAATTTGACTAGATCGCGCTATGCGTAAAGGATATTAAGACGTTGCGACATGACAATTAATAATTAAAAAGCAATAATTAGATTTTTGACTGACAATATTTAAAAAAAAATATTTGTTAATTAAATGAAAGTGCTGTGTGAATATTATAATAGATCCTTCTACTTATGTAACGTAAATGCTAAACTATTCTATGCGTAATGCGGCATTTGCATTGATATATTATTTCTATGTCTAAGTTCATTTGCATGCGCGAGCCATTTATATGTATGTAAATATTCATAGTCTAATAGCGTCACTGTTGCTGTGTTACGTCTATGCTAGGATAACCGTTATCTTACGTGCAAAAGAGTGCCTTAGAAAATATTTTTGTAATTTATACGATCCTCTAATAAGAATTGTAAATGTATCAAGTCTGTCCTCAAGCGCGACTTTCTCTGTATGAGAAAACTCGAATCAAACACACAGGTTTGGTTCAAACACATGTAAAACCTCCATACGTTACGTATATTTGAAGAGAATTCTTGTTTTTCTCTAAACGCTTCCCTCGCGATTTTTCTCAATAATAACTTGTTTGTCTTGTAGCTTTATATGCAATTATATATAATATATGCGCACACATACGCGCACGCGCACGTGTGTATGCTAGAGTATTATAATTAACTATATGCAAAAAAAATTGTCAGACCGATCTCTGACATTCATGGTGCTGCTAAGTGTAACAATTTATACATTTATATAGTTCTTATGTATAAAAAAAAATGTCTCTTTCATTTCCGAGATCTTATAAAAAAAATACCCTATGCCTGAAATGCATTTAACAAAGATATACATAATATTCATCTTTTTTGGTAAAAAGATATTTGAAACAAATGTTTTCGCTGTATTTCCAATATTGACAGATATTTAAGATAATCTTAATTTTTATACAATCCATATTTTCTTACATTTCAAAAGTGTCAGAGATAATACTATAAAATTGTTTGACTAGTACTTAATCGTTAACAATTATTTAGACTCCAAGTACTATCAGAGTACAGGAAGAAAGGCTTTGTACTTTTTATCACTATTTATTGAATAAGAGAATTTCTGTATAACAAGAAAGTAATTTGTTTATTGTTTCAAGTTGATTAAATAGTTATTTATTGTTTAAGGCAAGTTATCGACTGATATACATAAATGTAATTGTGCAACGCCTTTCTTTATGTTCCTACTGATATTAGAATGTTAAGAAATCATATCGAAACTTGCCACGCCATTGTGTCGTGCCTTGAACAAAATCTCTTGTATTATATCCTTCATTGTCATACAATTAATATTAATAAATACATGTGTTTATTTTAACTATATAATATATATTTTCAATTGCATGCTGTAAAATAAATGCATGTTTCATTTACACACACACACACACACACACACACACACACACACACACACACACACACACACACACACGAGAGAGAGAGAGAGAGAGAGAGAGAGAGAGAGAGAGAGAGAGAGAGAGAGAGAGAGAGAGAGGCACGTGCGCGCGCGGGCGGACGGACGGACGAAGAGAGACAAGCATACACATATTAGTTGTTATTACTCAAAAAGATATTATGCAACTCAATGTACAATATTATACAAATTATCACAATTGTATTTACTGTTTTGTTGCAACGTTTATGAGATTTTTTTTAATACTGGTTTATATGTCAAAAGTTTAGCATAACTTTTAAGAAGTTGTTTCCAAAAATATAAAATGTCTGACATTTTCAAATTATTCCATATAAAATCTCTTCCGCGATAAGCAATCTTTTTTGATACATTATCATTGTTCTTTGCAAATTCAATCAAATCCCTAAAAAGATAAAAGAAACTAAATTAGCTGATAACTAGTTGATAATAAAGACAAAATAGGACAATGACACAATAAGGTTAGATGTTCTTACTGCAATTCTTTCTGATCTGCATTTTTAGAAACAGGTATATAATGAATCCATGGTTTCATAGCATGATAATAAAATTCAAACCAATCTTCGCCGACGTGAAATACTAATGATCGGCATAAAAATAAATGCTTGTGCCGAAACGAAGCTGCCACACCTCGGAAGTTGAATAAATATTTGTATGCGCAATGTGATTCCAAAGATACCTCCAATGCTGGTGCCATGTGCAAAGTGTCCTAAAATAAAGTAAGAATAAAGTAGAATAAAGTTAAAAATTATATCTACATAAATTATGTCTTATATACATTCGAGTCATATAATGTCCACCAACACACGACTCCAAAAAAAAAAAATAACCTTCATTACCTCATTGGATTTCCATGCTTGATTCTTAGTGTATCGAGCATCCACCAAATGAGATTTATTGCGACTTAGTAATATCAAGTTATCACGTTCTGAACTCGTTCTAGATCCACGAAAGAATGCTTTACTCTTTTTCTTTTCCCATGGAATCTCCAAACTCGCCTTATTCAATGATTTACGGTGTTGATCCCACCTGCCGAGACCACGGGGATACAACGAAATGGCTGGACCACCTTCCCAAAATGCCCATGCTGGATACATAATATCATGATATTGTGGTGTCTATAAATATATTTTGCAGGCTACTCAGTTTTCATTAAATTCAATCAATGAAAATTAATATATTATAATACATAAATATATTAAGATGTAACAAATTTTAAATCAATATTCATATATTTGTTCTTATATCTAAGATTATATTCCAACCAATAACCCATATAAGCTTTATCTTAAATTTAAGAACAGACTATATGAATGTCGACTTAGAATAGATAAGAAATTTATCTCTTACCTTACTAAATGAAAAAATAGGCATGGCATTTCCAAAATATTCACTGGATTGAGGATAGTCTCTGGTATTTATAATTAAATCCATGTCTGATAAATTACCAATTACCTTTAATAAAAAATGTTCAATTCCAGCACATCTGGCTGGAAACATACAATTTCTTTCTCGATATAATTTACCATCGATAACTTGATAAAATGTACCCCTATGAGATTATCATACTACTTATTTGTAAAATAAAGAGCAAAATGAATTTACATGAAGCCATTGATATAAAACAAAACATTATAGATACCTAGTTTTAGCAGCTTCTATCATTTCTTCACCTATGCCTTTCATTTTAAAAGGCTTTAGATCTCTTACAATCACATCTTTAAAGCAATCATGTTTCGTGTTATTGCATTCTTTGTAACTTTGCTCTGCTTTTTCGATCGCCACTAAATATTTCCTATATTTTTCATTTATTGCTAAACATGAGAAAAAATAGTACAATGAAAATTTTATGATACAATATCGTGTCATCAAGTGTCATCTCAAGATTACACTAATCAATTTTGAAATCAATTTTGAGATTGTAAACAATACCTTCCGTGTAAAATGATCCTTTCTGACGATCTATCTCGTTTCCTTTACAGAATTCTGCGTTATTTGCCGAACAAAATTGCTCCTCACATAAATGATCGGTAAAAATTGCCAAAAGTACAAATACATAAATTAATATCGACATACTTTGCCGGTCCATCGATCTCGTATGTTTAACATGTGGTAAAAATAGACTGGCAACAGCCCGTCTAAATATATGTAACAAACTTGCTGTGAACGGAATGATACGCCAAATAAATGTGTTGATTAATTCAACAATAAGTGTCTAAAAGTCTTCAGAAAGTCGATTGTGTGTGTATCAATCAATCAACGTGTTTTGTCATACGATAAATAAAATAATATCCTTATTAACCAAAAGAATGTGATATAATTTGATATAACCTTATCTGTAACTAGCGATATCTATGTGCAAAAAAAGCAATCACAGAAATCACAATTACTAATTATATCAATCGTTGATAATGTTAGAAATGTCCACAGATGTCAGTACATGCATATTTTTTCTTTATTATTAAATAATGTATTATATATATATATATGTACATACATACATTATAACTTGTATTATTAGACACATATTGAATGATTTGGAACATACATTCACGCGCGTGCGTGCGTGCGTGTATGTGTGTGTGTGTGTGTGTGTGTGTGTGTGTGTGTGTGTGTGTGTGTGTGTGTGTGTGTAGTAGTAGTAATA